ATCACATTGACGATGGAAGTACTTCTCGTTCCATGGAATATAAGCAAAGCAAGCAATTATCGGATTATATGCTGCATCTTTTAGTAGTGTGTCCATTTATGCTCCCGATTGGAGTTGGGATGATCTGATTCAGATACATGTGCTGAAGACAGAGTTTTTTTACATATAGGAATATGGCTATAGCCTGTACGAAGATGCTCATAGTGAACACTGAGATTGAACCAGCTAAATTGAAAGGGGATAGGAGCAAGAGTTTGTTGTTCGACGCGTGCATACTTGCCAAATCATTGCACAACAGGAGAAGGAGATGCTTGCCAAACAAAGTTGCGCAATCGCTTTTGTTAGCATGTTTCCAAAAGCAAGAAGTTGAACTCTATGTATGCTACTACTGTGCATAATTTGTTGAATAAGCTCTTTCTTCCCTTATTACTGTATCAATCTTTGTGGGATATTGGCAAGTTGCAAAGTAGTCCGTTATGGAACTTAATATTTTCGGAACAGAAGTGCATGGAGTCTAGATGTATTGTCTTTTATTATTTTGATTATTAGTCAAGAAAATACATGAAAGACACTTGTAGATATAATGCAGGACAGAGTTGTTTCTGTTAGTTTCCGGGAAGAATTTATTGACAAGACTTCATGCCATGGTTACCACTTACCAGGGTATCCTCTGTCAAAGAATTCTTGCTGTTTACTTGTATACATGTGTGAACGAGCATAATTTCTTGAAAATGAATAAAAGCATATATTATGAACGTGCATTATTTCTGAAATGCATCCTGGTGAGTAGTGAAACTAGTCTCTACCGACTGTACACATGATTTTCAACTGTGTAATTTGACTGTCATATATTTATGGTCTTTCCCTCTCAGAATACGTATTTGGACAACATTAACAATTGGCTTCAAAAATCATCCATCCATTTCAAAAAAAAGGTATAGAAAGTAGACAGATTATTCGTAGACTTTGCACTCCTTGTCAGCAGGGTTAGTCTTGCAGTAGTCCTCCAAGGAGTCTCCACTTCCTTCCACAGATGAACCAGGCCATTTGCTTGCTACCAGATGAGCCAAGTCAACCACACGTTGGCTGCAATTTTACCAAGTACGATCACCGGTTAATCAAGGATATATACTTGTGTGTGTGTGTGTTTAATATTGATTGCTTATGCAAAACAGTTTTCAGGCTGGTGGTATAAGCTCGCAAAGTTTTGTGCTAAGTTTACCTGTATCCCCACTCGTTATCATACCAAGCGACAACCTTGACCATGTCGTCTCCCATAACCATGGTCAAAGAGGAGTCGATGGTGGAGGAAACATCACTGCATCGGAAATCAACTGACACGAGTGGAACATCACAAACAGCCAATATGCCATTCAATGGACCGTCAGCTGCCTTTCTGAAAGCTGCATTGACATCTTCAGCTGAAATTCCTTTCTTCTCAACGTTGACAACGAGGTCAACGACCGAAACATTAGGTGTTGGCACTCGGAGAGCAATGCCATTGAGCTTGCCCTTGAGCTGGGGTAGCACTAGAGACACGGCCTTGGCTGCACCAGTGCTGGTCGGGACTATGTTCAACGCTGCAGCTCTCGCTCTCCTCAAGTCACGGTGTGAAGCATCCAGAAGCCTCTGCATACAACATTTATAATCAAACATATTTAAGACTAATTGTCATTTGACAAGAAAGCACCATAGGAAGGTGCAGGTTTCACAGATTTCTATTCAATAGCGTGTATTCTTACCTGATCTCCGGTGTAAGAGTGAGTTGTTGTCATTGTACCCTTAACAATACCTTCAAAGCGAATGGAAATAGTCAAACATAATTCCAAACCGTAGAAAAGTAAACAATGTTTCAACAGTATTAATGTGGTTGTGATACGGGTGATATATGTCTAAAATGATCTGCTGCTTACCGAATTCTTCATCCATGACTTTGACAAAAGGAGCCAAGCAGTTAGTAGTGCAAGAGGCATTGCTGCATTTGTAAAGTAATGAAACTTTCAGAATTGGAACATTTGATGACCACCTTCTTGAACAATAAATTCATCATTCATACACTGAAGCACTGACCTTACGATATTAGCAACCTCGTGAGAGTAGTCTTGTTCGTTCACTCCAACAACATAGGTAGGAATATCAGCACCTTTTGCTGGAGCAGTGATGATAACTTTCTTAGCACCAGCTTGGATGTGCTTCCCAGCACCCGGACCATCAACAAACACACCGGTTCCCTGGAGTTTCAAACAACATAAATACATAGCTTATTTAGCACCTTTTCTCAGGATTCGGCATCTTGTGGATGCTGGGCCCTTATTGATCAGGATCAATGTCAACACAATTCAATCCTGGTTGATTTAATCTAGTTAAGAAACTAAGGTGATGATGGGATTGAAGGAGATAGGTGGAAGACATAAGCTCAGGGTAGGATATCCAGCTATGTTGCTCGGATCCTCCAAATATGCCACTGCGCCTGTGTTGGAACCTCCAAAACTGAATAACTTTTGGAGGATCCAACACATTCCCGGCAACATTTTTGAAGGAACCGAGCAACATAGATATGCAACACTCAAATGTTATGATGGGGATGAATTAAGATACTCTACATGTCAATTATGTGATTACTATGATATCTAGAGCTACTGGACGTGCTAATGACTTCTAAAATTAGCAGGAAATAGGAATAATTGAATATCAATATATAGAATGACATGACTTTTTTCGGTTTCTTCTTTGCTTCCCCATTTTGGGTTAAAAGATCAAAACATGAAGTTATTGGGATTATCATAAAAGGCAGATAACCTGTCTAAAGAGCTTTCGGATTATCAGAATTGAGAGTAACTAGTTTACCTCAATAACAATGTCAATGCCAAGTTCAGCCCAAGGAAGTTTAAGAGGGTCCCTGCTAGAGACAACCTTGATGTGCTTTCCGTCAACGCTAATGGTTTCATTATCCACTATTTTCACATCAGCCTTGAATGTTCCGAGCATGGAATCGTACTTAAGCAAGTGAGATGCCTGCATTAATATAATATTGCAGTACCTTTTAATACAGGACTAGGAAAACTTTGATAGTAAAGCCAGCAAACTGCTATTAATCAGTTTATTTATTGAAGGAAAAGAATAGAGTTTGGAATAGTACTCACATTCTTGACACCACCACTGTCATTGACGACGATGACATCCAGTGGTGAATCTTTGCGGCCATGCCAACAACGGAGGAAATTCCTGCCAATGCGTCCAAACCCATTGATAGCAACCTTCAATTTTGCAACAGTTTCTCCCTTCACAGGAGCTGATCCTGTGGTCTAATTTGGGATAGAATTAGATGAGCTCCAGAAAAACAGTTATAGAATACTACTACTCTGTTTCATTCTATATGTCAGTGTTTGATTGCGCATGCAGTTTAAGGAGAAAGAAAGACTTCTGGAACTTGTGGTCTTAAACATGTCAATGACATTTCTGTGGCTATAAGAATATATCAACAGCCTGTGACGTCTTAATGCTTTGCTTGGCTGTCTAAAATAGAGCTGGGGACAGTATATAATTACCTTGGGAGTGAGTTGAGCAGACACAACATCAAAGAAGGACGACTCCCTATTCGAAAATGTCACACATCCACTTGATCGAAGACCAGAGAACTCGGCTACTGCAAATTTCTACAAAAACAAGTTAATTCAGAAAGCCCATAATTACAAAGAAATTTCCATGCACATTCATTGAAAGGAGAAAGATTCTATTTTAAGTAAGACCTTGGAGAAGCATTGAGTAGGGAAAGACTGTGAGTTCTTGGAGGGAAGCCTTGTGCTTGTGGGAATTCTTGAAGGAGCCAAAGCTGCATGAGAAGCCATGGCTGAAACTAAATGGTATTGATAAAAACTACTTAAATCCTTTGCTATATATATACACTTTTAAGTTAAGGTTTTCTCTCCACCATTTATCCTTATAATGTTCAAAAATCAAGTCATGGTTGCAATTGAGGTTCAAGGAATGAGTGGTGCATATATCAATATTGATAAGAGATAAGATGATGTCCTCATGTATGTATCTTCCACCTTCATCACAATCTCAACCACAGATTGCTGCAAAATCCATTTATCTCTTTACCATAATTGTGGGAACACATTCTTCCCAGCATTTTACAGTGGGGAAATGCATGACAAAGAGGCAAGTGATAGCAACATATGCTATGTTACTACACGAGGCAAGTCATGTATGCACCCTTTCTTTTTTAGTTTCTTCAGAAAGAAACATTTTTATACATTTAGAAACAATTTCGCTTTCTTCAAAAAGACATGATTTTATAAACACAAAAATATCATGACATGTTTAAGACCATAAATTTCAAAAATAGTTTCTTTCTTTTTTGAAGTTCGTGCTCAGTCAAACACCTTCATATAAAATGATCGAGAGGGAATATTCCATATTTCTTTTAACTTTTACATTGACATTATTCTGGCTAACTGGAGAACTAGTACAAGAACAATACCAATGTCCATTCATTAGAGGACGGGACGATTTAGGTATGGACTTGCAGAAGGATAATAGAAGTACTGGTCTAATAACAAAATGGCGCTATCCGTAAAACACCAGTGGTCCTCTGTTATTCAACGAATCACCTTTTTTTTTAAAAATAAAACTTGACCAAAGAACATTCAACTGGCAATTCATTTCAAGAGGTTATTGCATGTCTTATCTCATTGACAACTTACCAAGGAAGTATAACAAAGATTTACTGCAAAAGGAAGAGAAAAAAAAAAAAAAAAAAAAAAAAAAAAGACCGAAAATGTACCAAGGTAGAATGACCTAATTAAAACTTGCTAGGTGATTTTTTTTCCATCTGCCTAAGCTTGATGGACGGTACTTGTGCTCGTGGGAGTTGGCAGATACCCAAAAACAATCGTGGAGGTAGAAGATACCCAATGAAATAATCGAAGTGCACTTAACCGGGCGCAGTACCAGCATTATAAAGAAAAATAAACAGAGAGGGATTACCAAGGCAGTGAGGTAAAAAGGATTGCATAAGCGCAAATATTAGAGTTTGAAGCTGCGGTACATATCAGAAACATAATAAAGATTCACATTTTATTCCTTTGTTTGCACATTTCATAGCAGCACTAAGGATATACTAAAACCACAACCAGGAATGCTCTTGGAATATCGCAATGTCTTGTGGAAGTTTATCCCTTCACATGAAACCAATAGAAGTGTTCTTATAGAATTGTTTCAACTTCATCTAGGTTCACAGCAACTCCATTTTGTGCGTCTCCCGACCTCAATTGGTTGGAAATGTCATCAATAGCGTCGTTCAGCTGAACAATCTTCTCCGTTAGTATCTTGCGCTGTTTCTGCAGAGAAAACAGCATCCATACATGAGAAGAACTTGAAACAGAAACAAGAATAGCTCGGCGTATCCGTATTTGGCGGAGTAGGTGAACGTACTCGGGAAGGAAATGAACTTTACATGGAAATGAAAGAATCTAGAGTGATTAATGAAAAAAATATTGCAGAATCAAAAGTAGCCCTAGTTTACGGTCAGATGAATGAACCGCGTGGAGCTCGTATGAGAGTTGGTTTGACTGCCCTAACTATGGTGGAATATTTCCGAGATGTTAATGAACAAGACGTACTTCTATTTATTGTCTTCAGCTGCTGGTTTGATCTTAATATGCCTTAGGAGAGGCAAGTTTTAGTCCTCAGAAATATTTCATTTTTTGGGGATAGGGTATTCTTCGGAAGCTATATGACTCGAGCAAAGTAACAAAATCAAATAAAGGTGACAGTTTTGATGCAACAAGCCTTTATAAAAAGATAGATAAATCAAGAAGCACAAAACATTTGTATAAATCACCTAACTAGGTAATTAAAAGACCAAGAATAGCATCTGCATACAGTTACCCTAAAGATTTCTAAAAAGGATTGTCAAACATCATTTAAGTAGAATTCAAGCGAAATTTTAGTTCTAAAAGTAGAAGACACTCAATTGGCTGCTTCAAATCCTTGCAGCACACTGGTTCCGGAGTATCTTCTCTAGCTTTTACATCTCTTGAAGAGTAATTTGTCTACAAGTTCATGACTCCATTATAGAGCTAAACATAGATCAACAATCTACACAATTACCCCTTTCTCCCACAAGAATACTACACAGGAGAAATAATCACAACGGATACCAATAGCTGGTTAAAATACAGAGGTACTACCATTTGAGTGTCCATCCATAGGATTTTGGAAAGCACCAAATCTTTGCTGACCAAAATCATTAACGTAGACTTGAAAGCGACAGGTAGTTACACCTAAGCGGACTATATTCATTCAACCAGAACATAGGATTCCGATAAACATACATAAGTGTATGTGTGTGCGAGTNCTACCTCCAATGCTTTTTCTTCATCATATATAAATTTGGGCAATTTTCTCATGAGGTCCTTCTTATCTGTTTCAGCTAATGCCTTGCTAATCTGTAAAAGAGAAATTAAAGGGCAGTCATCTTACCCCTCCCACGTACAGCAAGAGAGAAGAAATTCGGAAAAGGCATTTAGAGCAAAGACGAACAAAGACGGTGACCAATACGGAAAAGGTCACCGCCTTTGGTCGTCTTTATATTAAGAAGTGATGAAGCAACATTCACAAGTATTTTTAGAGCAAAGACGACCAAAGGCGGTGACCAATACAAGTGCTACTGCTCTTTTACCTGAGGCGCATAGATACAACCAAGTGCACCAATGATTACTCCTCCTAAAAGAAAGCCACCAACAAAGATTCTGGTATTGCCTGGCCTTCCACCATCACTGCCAATTAACAAGAAAGAGAAACATCCCATAAGATATTTTCTCCTGTCGGTGGATCACCAATGCGTGAAAGAAACAAAAGTACAGTTTTCTTTTTCCTATTTAAATGGAAAGAGCCAAATTGGATTCACAGTTTTGCAGAATAACTGTCGGATCAAACTAATTCAAACATGATCAGACAGAGGGTCCATTTATCAGGGATTGAACTTTTCAATTGATTTGGTCTAATCAACGCTAACATTAACTTATTAAGATGAAATTATAATCTATCGAAGGACTACTGACCACCAAACAAAAGAAAGGTGATGCAACATCAATGTATATGTTGCATACAACTAGAGCACATGAGAATAAGAGAAGAAATACCTATATCCTGCTTGAACGGTCAATGAACTTCTAGATGAGGATGATTTTCCTCTACTCCTTGGACTGAAGGCCAACTTGATGGTGCCACTGACACTTTGGTCTGCTGACTTCAAACTAGAGCCTAGCACATTGATAAAGTTACCGGACTTATGCCACATTACTCATCTAGGTTTGGTTGAAAGAGAGAGTCATCAATGCAACAACTGACCGTGCCATGTATGACTAAACCAATCTTATTTGTCATGAGTACTTTTAGCTTCACGCAGTTCCGCAAATAATTTGAACAAAACACACACAATCCATTTTTTATCCAACAATTTGCATTCAGATGTTATGCTTAAAATTAATTGAATAAGAAGTAGAGAAGGTTGTTGAATTTTATAAGGACCTCTTATTTTTAATGTATCGAAATAAACACCTGGCATGAATTCAAATAAACATTTTGGAAAATGATGCTGGAACAGCATAAATGTCACTGTATCAAGAGAATACTCTACAATATGAATATTTAAAGGCCACTCTGTTCATATCTATCTCATTCCAATACTATATAATACTCTCTTATTCATTTTATACAACACCTTTTTTTTTAATTCCAAGAAGATTGACACCTTTTTATATTTGAAAAATCTTTAAATTTAACTCTCCCGTTTTTGCCGTTAAAGCCCTTACACATATGATCTTATAGGAATTGATGTGATAAGTTGAAAAGTATTACTTCCTCTATTTATGTCGTATTTTGACTGGGCACAAAATTTAAGAATGTAAAAAAAACTTTTGAATCTTGTGGTCTTAATTAAAGGTGTGTATAACATACAAATAATACCCTTTGAATCTTGTCATCTTAAACTATAAAATGAAAGGCAAGAATATTTCTTATAGTCAAATTGGCGTTACTTAAGACTGGATGTTCCATAAATCTAACACTTATCCCTACACGGACATACAAGTCTGTGTTCTTAACTAAAAAGCTCCAGTGAGAAAACTACCTAACATAAGTATAACAACAAGAAAGAACGTTTATCCCAACTAGTCTGTAGCTACTAGCCCATTTTGATTTGCTCTTAACTAAGGTCTCAAGGTTTTTTGAGACTCAAATTACTTCATGCTGCAGTTAGTTTACTTTAACAGATAAGGAGACATAAATATTGAAATACAGACCTCTGTAATAGTCTTCCAAATATGCTATTACGGAGCTTGATTAATGCATACACGGGTAAAGCTCAAAGCCAACTAATCATAAACCACAATTGAAATTACTTCTTACACTATTTCCTTATTAGTTCTTTCCAAAAATAACATACCCTTATTTGAAAACAGTTTAAAATTATCATTTTACTCTTAATGACATTCTTTTTTAATCACAGAATCTCATGGCATAATCATTCAAGATTATGAGTTCTAAAAATATTTATTTCTTACTTAAGTTAAGTGCCCAATCAAAGTATCAAACACAGTCACATCCCAAACAAAGTCACATAAATTGAAACGAAGATAGTAACGGGTGCAGCAAAAACAGCGAATTATAATAATAACGAAAATTTGGAAGATATAAAGGAATACCAGAAGAGAAATGGAGAGAAGGGTTTGTTGGTAAGAGCAAAGAATTTGAAAGAGCCACCATCCTGTGAGGATAGGATGAGGGATTAAAGAGGATGAACGTGGAAGACAGTCACCGGAAAATGAAAAAAGGTGGAGGACGGCGGCCGGACGGCGAAAGAAAGAGTGAGTGAGACAGCAGCAGAGAGAGAGATGAATGATGATAAAAGAGAAGGATTAGAGAAGTGATATTGTTTTCTTTTTAGTTCGATGAGGTCGATGATGATCAACATAATTAACCACGACGCGTGGATATTTGTTTGGGAACCAAATGCGTAAAAATTAATAAAATAAAATCAAAATAATAACGAAATAAATAACAAAATAAAATCAAATAATGAGGGAAAAATTCTAAAATGATATCAATAGAAAATTTTATAAAACTTACTAATATTATATTTTGTCGAAATTTTCTCTTATATAAGTAAGGCCGGCAAGCGGACCTGGCCGGGCCGTAAACGGGCCAAACGAGATGGTCTCGCGGGCCGCGGTCCCGGTCCAATCCCTAAATAAACGGTCTCGGGCTAAATGTGCTTTTTGTAGGAACCAGTCCGGGATCGGGCCCACTAGCTCATGGTCCCGGGCTAAATGGGTCAAATGACTATAATTTTTTTTTGTGGCTATTTTTAAACAATTTTCAGATTATGGTCGTTGGGCCAACGACTAATTTTCAAATTAAGCCGTTGGGACCGTTTGACTTGCAAATTGCATACAAGTTAAATACTAATTTTTAATTGAATTTAAACTTATAATTTGAAGAATGTTTTTTGAATTAAATACAACTTAGAGACAAAAATATTGTAAAAATACATTCAAAACTATGCCTTGTAATTTTATTATAGCAATAAAAAAATATGGCAACATCTTTCTTAGTCTTCCTCCCCTCTATGGAATGAGAAAAACAAGGTGTTAATACCAGCATTGAGAAGAAAAGGGAACTAATCAAGGAATGCCAAAAATACAGGTTACATACTAATTTTTGAATTCAAATTTAAACTCCTAATTTGCAAGTTATTGTGATGGAAAACAAACTTGCAAATATAATATTTAATATATTCTAAAAACTTGCAATTAATTTTCATAGCTATCTCTTACAAATTTCATAAATCCTTCAAGGTTCGGAGGAAGTTCCGTTAGTGGTGGCAGAAAAGTAGCTTGTTCATCGCCGCTTCCATTGTCGGATGAAGCATCATCCTCAGCAAGTTCAGCTAGCATTTCTTCATAAGTTAGGTCTATCTCTGGTTGTGATTCAGCAAGTCTAAAATATCTTCTTTCTGAACGGATCCAATCTATAAAAAGTATTGATTTTTCCAAGATATCCCTCATAGACTGTCTATGATCACTGATTTGAAGTCTTGCTTGACTGAAAGAGCTCTCTGATGTTACTGTTGAAGTTTGAATAGTTAAATGTCTCGGGCCATCTTTGAAAGAATCGAAAAGTATTTTTCTTTGTCCTTCCATCATTGCAAAATATCAAAGGTACCGTCGGGATTCACTTCCTCGAGCCTCTGCGACAAATAAACTTTAAGCTCATTTAGTTGTGAAAAACTATTACTACTAGAACTAAAAGAACCCCTAAACCCCGCCCAAACACTAAGTCTTCTTACTCCCGCAGTTCTTTTAGAAGATTGAGAATTAGAAGAAGAAGGAGTTGGAATATTTGGTCTAGCCTGATTTGGTGCAACTTGATAAACATTATAAATAGTTTACGCGTTTGTTCTAATTGAGGCTATTGCTTTTGGAAGTTTAGGCTCCTCATCATCTTCAAGTGTTAAACCCTTATAAACAGTTTCATACCAAAATTGAGGACCTCCTAATTTCATACAAATATTTAACAAATTAGCAATACCATAAATAATGGGAATAGGCAAAAAAATATGTTTTAAACTTTCTTCTCAAAGAATCAATAGCAAGTTGATAAATTTCCCCACCATGTGAAAAATAAACAAACAAATTTGCAAGTTCTACTATATAAACCAAACAGTTAGAAATAGTAGGATAATATTGCCCCGAAAATTCTTTTGTAATAATATGAATTTTTTCTAAAAAATCTACATGCATTTTAACATTAGCCCAATCCTCATTCGTAATGTAATCATCATCATCACTTACATGTGTATTAAACGTTGAACTTATGGGGTTTCTATAGTCATATACAACAACCAAACTTTCATACATGTAATTTCATCTAGTTGGACAAGATTTACGAACCTTTCTTTCTCTTAGACTACAATCATCATTTCACGACTCAAAATTCATTAAAGATCGTGATGGCGCCTAACACGCTGTCAGGCAAGCCAACAATAATTGATTAACTTAATTACTCATTTTAGTATTGTTGAAATCATAATTTTTTTCAATTAAATAATAGGAGATAAAATTTAAAGAGTAAATAGAAATGTCTCCACAACTATCCTACTAAACAACCCATAAGTACCCCCAAAACCCGGTGTCACAAGTGCATGAGCATCAACTAGGAAGTAAAATAAAATACAGCATCCGTCCGGAATACAAATTGGACAGAAAAAGTATATAAATAACTCTGAAGGAGACTCTGCTGGCTGCGGATCGTAGTATAGAATGCAGCTCACCTAAGTCCCCGTAATAACCGCGACTCTGCGCCCACAAGGTCACTAGACATATATGTACCTGCACAAAAATGTGCAACAAGTGTAGTATGTGTACGTAAATCAACGCGTACCCAGTAAGTAGTCTAACCTCGAAGAAGTAGTGACGAGGGGCCGACTCCGACACTTACTATGGACTAATAATAAAATATCGATAATATAATTAAGCATGGATTGTATAGAATGGTTGTAACCTCAATAACATGAAGTAAGTAAATAATTCTTTTGTTAATAGAAAATTTCAAAATTTATTTTCATCATTTAACATTTTGTATCGCAGGCCAATGAAGCAATATCAATTATTATAAATTCCAAAGCAACAAATTCAATCATGCGCAAATCATGCCGAAATGGTACGGCCCGATCCAACATAAATATTTAAGTTGTGCACGAATATATGATTTATTCCCAATTCCATGCCCAAATTCGTGATCAAAATCCAAGAATACAAATTTCTAGGCTTTTCTTTAAAATTCCAATTTCTACTAATTTCTATGTTTAAATCCATATATAAACCAAGTATTTAACTTGAAATAGGTGGGAATCACTTACCTTGACATAGATGATGAAAATCTCCCCTTGAAGCTCTCCAAAAATCGCCCAACCAAGTGAAAAATGAAGGAAAATGGCCAAACCCACATACTTAAAGAAGCCTTCTGCACAACAATCGTCACATCTGCGGACATATTTTTCGCACATGCGGTCTTGCTTTTGCGAGACAAAACTCGCTCCTGCGAAATCTCCCTGGTCAGCCGTCCATCGCACCTGCGGAAGTTCTTCCGCTCCTGCGCAATTGCAGGTGCGACACATCCTAGCGCATCTGCGTATCTTCTGTACCTGCGGCAGTGGCGTCGCTTCTTCGCACACGCAAGTGCGCTGCTCGAGTCCGCTCCTGCGACCTTATACCCAGGCTGCCCATGTCGCTTCTGCGAGCTTCTTCTCGTTTCTACGAGGCCGCTTCTGTGGTCAAGCCTTCACAAAAGCGGTTACACCAGCAACCAGATTTTTCTGGTATTTGCTCGTTTTAAAATCCGATCTGTTGATCATCCGGAATCCACCCGAGACCCCCGGGACCTCAACCAAACCTACCAACAAGTCCCAAAATACAATACGGACTAAGTCGAGCCTTTCAATCACATCAAACAGCGCTAAAAACACGAACCACCCTCCAATTCAAACTTAATGAACTTTGAAACTTCAAACTTCTACAAACGATGTCGAAACCTAAATTTTGCATTCAAGTCATAATTGACATTATGGACCTACTCTAACTTTCGGAATCAGAATCCGGCCCCGATATCAAAAAGTCTACTCCCGGTCAAACTTCTCAAAATTATCCAAATTTTCAACTTTCGCCAAATGACCCTAAAATGACCTACGGACCTCCAAATCTACTTTCGGATGCGCTTCTAAGGCCAGAATCATCATACGGAGCTATTCCCAGACTCGAAATTCCAAACGGACATCGATAACATTGAAATGAACTTCAACTCAAATTTATGAAATTCTTCCAAATGCCAACCTTCCGTAATAAGCGCCGAAATACTCCCGGGTCATCCAATACCCGATCCGGATATATGCCCAAGTCCAAAATCATCATACAAACCTATTAGAACCTTTAAATCCTGATTCCGAGGTCGTTTACTCAAAATCAACCCTTAGTCAATTCCTCCAACTTAAAGCTTCTGAATTTAGAATTTTCTCTCCAAATCAAATCCGAACTTCCCGAATTCCAATTCCGACCACACGTACAAGTCATAATATCCAAAGTGAAGCTACTCATGGCCTCAAACTGCTGAATGACGCGCTAGAACTCAAAATGACTGGTCGGGTCGTTACATTCTCTCCCACGTAAACATACGTTCATCCTCGAACATGCTAAGAACTGCTCTGGAGTTGTCCGAAGTCATGTTTAACACCTTATGCACCTACTCATACTACCATAACCCAGCTGAGCACATTAACTTGAGCCAGTCTAAAGATCTTCCCCTTTATTTAGTCAAGTAAGCCTTAGAGTCAAATTCCAACATCCAGAATTCTCCACCGGGCATGTTTCCATCATACGAACACCGTATCAATCACTACACGATGCACCAATACATGATTGCATACCTTTTCTGAATTCACATCATGCACCGCATAATTCACATGACCAGAATAACGTCTTCCTATAACAATAGCCGAAATTCCACAAATCTGATGCCCACAACACACATCATGACACATATAAGTCCTGTTTCAACTCTTGCAATACTACCACAAAGGAAGAGATGTGTAGAAACTCATAACCACCTGCCGAATCCCCATATATGGAGTCCCTCCTCCTGATAAGAACCATTACCTCACTCTGAACTGAATAACGATATCTTTTATTTAATGCACCTTATATAAATAAGGTCACACTAATTTCAGGTCCAATAATCTCGTCTTATTCAGTACAAGCTGCTCAGGCAATAAGCCACCTCAGCCACTGCCAAAAGTCTCATATGATGCCATAATGTGCCAGCAAGCTACAAACTCGAATGTGATACATAAGGAAAAATGAACTCTGGAAAGAACTGCTCAACCCACGTGACTAATTAAACAA